AGAATTTTTAAAAAATTTATTATTATTTATAAAAGTAAAAGACAAACTATTACAAAAACAAATAATTGAAAAAAATCTTTAAATACTGCCATGGTTTAAGTATTAAGGAAAATGATTTTTTTTAATTTTATGACTTTTTTAATAAATTTCAATAATGAAAGAAGTAAAAAATAAAAATAAAAGTTACATACACTACACAAAAGTCTGAAAATGTTAGGTTACAGAAACCAGCCATACTAAATACACATCATATAGTTAGGAAAATCTTAAACACAGTGACATATATGAATAGCATATAAGCACAGTAAGAGCACTTGGCACTGTTATTATCTGAGTAGGATGCAATCCATATAGAGAATAATAATAATAATAACTTAAAATTATAAATCTTAAATCTCACAAGTTAACAAATGTAGAACTTATCACACAAGATACTTGTTTAGAAGAGCATGACGAAATTAATCACTTTGAATTGTCATTTTTGTATGCTGAAATGCATATGAAAATGACAATTGAAAGTGATTAATAAATTTTAGGTCTAAACCCCTCTTCAGTTCTTAACAATTGTTTTAAAAAGATCCTGAGTAAAGTCACAAGGAAAATATGTTTTTAATATTATATTAAAATATATTTTCCTTGTGACTTTACTTAGGATCAGTTTTTAAAGAATTGTTAAGAACTGAAGAGGGGTTTAGACTTGAAATGCATAGGAAAAAGACAATTTAAAGTGATTAATTTTGCCATGCTTTTTTAAACACATATTGTGTGTGATAAGTTTTACATTTGTCAAGTTGTTAAATTTAAGAAGTATAACAATTGAATAGGACAAGAAGCTTTGAACACATCATAAAATTATAAAAATTCTGCATAATCAAATGTTATTAGTTCTGGCTATTTGTTTGACACTTGATTTTGTAGTGATCAAAATCCCAAAATCGGCATTTTGAAATCAAGAATTATTAATTTTATTAACATTTTCATATTTTCATAACTCATGAAAATTCAAATGAGTTAGATGAATGAATTCATACAGCAAGAGAAATAAGGTATCAAGTTTGAATATGAAAGGTTCGAATACGAAACTGTTTTGTCTTGATAATGGGGATGATAGGCCTGCACCCTATCTCCTATAAAAGAAAATCACACCGCAACAGAAAACTCCAGGAAATTGAAACCAGACAAATTATATAGTAAACAACTAAGGCAAGGTAAGCAGACAATAAATTTTGCTATATGGAATGTACAAGGGATCAGATAAAAGGGACAAGAAATAAAGGGATAAAGAAATAAAAAGAATGAAAATTGACTTTGTGATCTTAACAGCAACAAAAAAGAAAGGGTTGGGAATGGAAGAACTGGAAGACTATGTACATATTTACTGTGGCATGCCAAAAGAAGAAAGAGCAAAATGTGGTATATCCATGATGATAAAAAAGAAATGTAAGAGAAATATTACCAATCATGAAACAATAGATGAAAGAATAAAGAAAGTTAACCTAAATATTTTTGGAAGATGAATAACTATTATTGGAATTTATGCACCAAATAAGGATGAAACCCATGAGGGTAAGGATATATTCTACAATACGATGCAAGAGGTGATAGATGAAACCAGAGAGACAAGAGAAATAATGTTATTGGGTGATTTCAATGCAAGAACAGGATCATCGAGATATAACAAAATTATTGGACAATTCAGAGAAAAAGTAACAAATGACAATGGAAGAAGGCTAATAGACATTTGTAAACAAATCACTTTAAAGTAAATAATGGGTTTTTTAAACATAAAGATATCCATAAATATACTTGGATTCAACATACTAGACAGTGGAAATCAATCATTGACTATGTTATTATGAAGCAAAGAACCCAAATTAAAATTTTAGATGTAAGAGCACAGAGAGGGGCTACCT